TCCTGCTTTTCCACATGCAAAAAGAATTGATGCGACGATAGTATTTACATGAACATGATCTTGTTATCGTACATATTGTATCGGTAACTTCAATGAAATAATCATCATAAAAAACACATCGATGAAATAATATATTATTTTTACATTCTGTTGTGCGCCATATCTAAATAACTATTTTTGGTATCATATATTTTTTTTTTTACTGTCAAAGTCGATCACGTGCTGCAGAATCGCGGACCTACTTGGTCTCCAATGGGGTCCTATCCTAACCCCCAAACTTAATTGAAAAATGTTAGTTTCTTTTATAAATTTGAGGTAAAATGGCGAAAAAAAATCTATATTTTCTATATATCGATAAAAAAAAATCTATATTTTTTAATTATAAAAAAACTCTATACTTATACTTATTCACCAAAATATACATATAATTTATAAAATCTAGTAAATAAATCCTTAAACGCAAACGTCAAAAAAATTACGGTAAAAAATGTGATGTAGCATTATTTTAATAAATAAATAATAGATTGAACCCGACCAATATATATATGAACCGAATTGAACATGTTAAAATAATATACTATAATGGATATGAATATTTCAAAAATCTGATGTGGCATTATCCAATATAGAATATTATTTTAATCGGTCCGATTCGATTCAAATATATATCGATCGAGTTCGATTCAATTATTTACTAATTAAAATAATATCACATCAGATGTTTGACCATATTTTTTTTTACGTTTGCATTTAGAGATTTATTTGTTAGATTTTTTGTTAGATTTTATAAAATACATTATCCGTGAATAAATATAAATATAAAGATTTTTTGATAATAAAAAAATATAATTTTTTGTCGATATTTGGGAAGTACATGATTTTTTGGCAATTTTTTCTAACTTTTATATAAATTTTAAACAAAATGGTCAAATACCTCCAATAAAATTAATTTTTTTTATAAAATATAATTTTTTTATAAAATTATATATACATTATACCCCCAATTATACTATGCCCCTAATTGTAAGTATTTTGGATCCGCCACTGCTGCAAATATACGTGGAACTGTAAACATTTACAAATAAAAGATCATTGTAAATAGAGATTTAACAAAACAATAAAAGATTGAAGTTCACAACTTTAGGGTTTACATATATATGAACTAAACTCCGATAAGAACCCTAAACTAAAATGCTAGTTTTGGGTACCCCAATAATACTACAAAAAGGCTAAAGGAAATAAAAAAACCTTGCTTTAACCCTCTTCCCTAAACCGGCCTCGGTTGGTTACCTAAACCCGACTCAACCGATCCTTGTACCGGCTCGGGTACACGATAACAGAATCTAGACATAACCCGCCTTTTGTATGCGTGCAATCGATCTGGGTCATCGAGAATTTTATCTTCGTAGTCGTCCTCTTCGATCTCTCGACGACGAAATCTCCCCCGTGGTAATGGATCCAATTTCCTGGTTCGGTTAGCGTGCATTGGGATGTAGAGTATTGACCATCCTCGGTCCAGAGCTGAAAACGAACCGGTTTAATGTCCCAACCATGAACCTGATCAGTGTTACAGACCCGGCGGCCAAACCGTTTCCCCGGTCGGCCGAGCTGAAGCCTGAAAAAGAGGCTGTAGGCTCCGGGCGGGAAGGGGAAATTGATTTCTCCGTCCACTTCGAACCACCAGATTTGTTGGAGATATGCTATGGAAGAAAATCTGCATAATCGAGAGAAAAAAAATTTTCAGACACATAACCAGCACTGTAAGAACAGAAGACTTATGATCAAAAGGCTATACAGATACATCAAACAATAACCATTGTTTATGATTGGATTCTTTTCAGATTTTTCCATTTGTTTTCAGTAATTCTGATTTTTGGACTTTCTTGTGATCTCAATGTTGTGTTTACATTTTTTTTTACCAGATTTTTCTGAAACAAATTCATATTTTTGTGGATATTTATAACTCTCAATCAACAGATGAGAAGATATTATACCATTCCAAGGAACTCTCTTCAATCCAAAGCAACCGAGAAGATTTGACTGAAATTCATTGACAGCAAATCTAAAAGCCTTACAGTCGGTATGAATTCAGAATTCAATCACTATAAAAAAAATGCAAACTTTAACAGGAAATGATGATTGTTCGACCACCTAGAACAGAAACTGATGTTCACCGATAAGCACAATCAGAAAACTTGAACTCTGTTCTGTTCCCACAGATGAGTTCCTCACGGGAAAGCCATAGTCTTTGAGGGCAAAACCCATTAACCAGAAAGCTACAAACTTCCGAATACCAATACCAATAACCAAACCAGAACTGATTGGACTCCACAGCCACTGATCTACAGTAAGTCTCAGAGGGTTCAATCATAATCTGGTTTCTTGGAAAACACACAAACTATGAACAGAAAAAACGAATCTTTGCCACTTTTGCCAAAGAAACCTAACCACGACATCTGAAGTATGCTCTAGCAACATATATTTGCAGGTTTAACCAAAAGAAAAAACAACACAAAAGGTAAGACTCTGTACTACTTTTGAAGAAGAGGAGCAAGCAACTAAACATGCAAATAAAGGAGAAAGTCTGTACCTAGATTCATCGGTCGGAATATGACTCCAATATCTCCGATCATCGATGCCGGTGATTGATAAACCCTTGGCTGAAATGCATAGACAGGCACCTCCAGTTCTCTTGTCTAGCCACACTTTCTGAAAAAAGAAAATCAAATCAATACAGAAGTTTCTGGATATAAACACTAGGGACGATTGGCGATTCTTCCTTTGTCATCTGATCCAAAAATAAAATAGGTATTTGGATATAGAGTTGCATAAAATTCCAAGATCGGTTCATGGTCATCCTTAGGAACTTCTGTTTCCCAGATTGAACGAGTTTCTGGCGCAAACAAAATTTTCCCGAGAAACCAAACAACGGAAAAGGTGTAGAGAAAAACAGAGAGGGTGTAAAGCAAGCACGACGAACCTTCGTGCCGCCGTCGAAGGAATTAATCCGACAAAGACATGAATAAACATCCCGTTTCTGCAAATTTTCTGGGAAACCACCGAGGATTCTCTCGAGAATAAGCCTGTAATTAGGGGGGAGTTTTGATTCCCAGACGAAATCCGCCCAGGAAGCGCCGCGAAATGCCCTGTTGAGCTTCGCGAATCTGCAGATCTCCACCGGATCCAAATTCTCAACAATCAGAGCCACACAACTTTCCGGCAAATCTCCTAGATTGGGCTTCAACAAATTCCCATCCCCGGACCAAGAATTCGTCGAAAACTCATTGTGAAAACCAGATAAACCCGCACCCATCAAGCACGGGATCCAAAACCCGGAAGAAAAAAAACCCTTCCGCGAGATTGAAGATCCTCGGTATTTAAGGAAATGGGCAGTCGAGAATTCTCCAGAAAACGAAGTCTTCGGCCTTAATCTTCGCAAATTTCGAACCTTTTCATCATGGATTTTTCTTCGGACACGCAATTCCTTGCCAAGGGAGATGGCAATAAAAAGGAAGGGTTTGGTGGTGACAGAACAAGCGTATGGGATTTGGATTTGGACGGTGACACAAAATAAATGGCAAGTAATACCAAAATATATATTGGGCGATTTCCATGATCTCGTTTAACATAATAAGAATATTTAATAGGTAACAAAATTCAATTTAATTAATTCTTTGTGTAATTAGTTATGCATCGATTTCTATCCCTTTTTGGTTATCTTCTGAATGTCATTTCATTTCACAACGTACGAAACCGAAAGCTGTTTTTGTTTGATTTCCTTTTTTGTCTGATTATTTATTATATCCATAGGGTTGCCTCATTAGCCATTACAGCTCTGTGGTCGTACACATCGAGTTGTAGTGTTTAGGCCACCGCTGATATGTTATCTGAATAACTACTAACTGCACATTTAGAAACCTAATCCTGAGTTAACCATAATTTAGTGATTTTGATAACATTTAAATCACATCATTGTTGAATGATGACATGATGATGATGATGATGATGATCTTTTGGTGCATACATATAATATAAGCAAGAATATGTGGATAAGTTTTCTTGGTACAAGATTTATGTCTAGTCTATGTTATGGTCATTAAGGTATTGGATATTTAATGGGATATTGCGATTTTGATTATTTTGAGCAGTTTATCTTATATTTTAAGCAATTGGAAAATAATATGCAACCCTTTAAAATATTTCAATAAAAAGAATAAACTTTATGAGAAATCAAAATCTCGGTAATCAATCCACAAAATTTTATTTTTTTGTGTAAATTTGGAAATACAAAGCAATTTCTCAGTCGTGCCAAATGTTTTTTTTTTATTACAATTTGGAACATCAAATATGGTCATCTCAACATTTAAAGATCCATATTTGCACCTAAGAGAAAATCTATATGGAAAAATATGGTACCTGAATTATTATGTCCATACTCTATTTACCATATTTTTCAATGGTTTTCCCTTTCTGAGTAATTTATAGATTCCCATTGCAAGTCATTTAAACTATAAAGTAACATGGACTGCGAAAAGAATATATATATATATATATATATATATATAATATACGTACGTTTTTTATAAAAAAAATGAGTGGTTTTAAAAAATACACGTAAGAATTCCTTCGATAAAATCTTTATGAAATCCATATTCGCTTTTCACAAACTTACAGCGATACCACGACAAACCACGTTAATCTAATAAAACCTACAATTATATATCATAATAGTCAACCGATTGTTTTGCCTGTCGATCTATGAAATTGCATTTTCAGCAATAATGACGTATACCGAAACAAATATTCTAGAAATACGAGAATTAAATTTTTATAGTATAATATAACGCGTATAGCTATATATATGTATGTATATATCCACGATAATTTCATAATCCTAACAAATAAATTATTAAAAATCCTTAATAACTATTTGGTTAGTCAATGTACTCGTAACTAATTATTAACATCTCTTTTGACTCGTGGGATGACTACTGACCAGCTTATAATTCTAAAAGGTGTCTAATAATATCGCGTGTATATATACATTATTTTTAATTATATGCATAACATATGCTATATATTTTACCAAAAAAAACAAATGCTATATATCTACACGGTCTAGCATGATAATGTTTTTGTCTGAGAAAAATACTAATATAATAAATTAATAATAATAATAATAATAAATAAACAAAAATATAAATAGATGGAGCAATATAATATTTCTGTCTAATAACAAACTTCGTCGAAAAACATATATATATTTCTGTCTACCAAAACCATTGCCTTCCCCTTAAAGTTGTTTTTCTTTTTGGTAGAATATCTATAACCATAAATATGATTATATCGATAATCAATATTTTTGTCATCGGCTAAAAAAAAGAACATCGATACTTGTTTTTAAAACTTTTTCTCATTAAATCATATATCGTAAACAATAACCTAATAATTTTATAAAAAACTTTGGTACGCGATTTGAAAGAAAAAATAAAATATTAGTAGTTATTTAATTTGAAGAAAAGAATTAGCTTTGATCATTTTTGACAAGCCATAGACTTTATAATTTTAGGTGGTATTCTTTTAGAGTTAAAGTTATTTTCATTTATTTCCTTGTTTAGAACAAAATTATTCAGTGTATTTAAATTATATACGATCCACATATATAATTTAATATTATTCAATTTATTTCTACTCGGTTTGAAAAAAATATATTCACTCTGCAACTTATCACCCTTTCCATTTTTGTCTGTTGGACCTTTTCTTTTATTATTAAACTAATTCTAGAAACATCTTATTATAATAATTGAAAAATATCGAGATATAGAAAGTGTATTTCAACTTTGACCTAGAACAATTGATTTATAAAAGGAAATAAATATTACGTGTATGTGTATACGTACAAGTAATAAAATAATAGGACCAGCTAATGATACGCGTATGTTCAGAAGTGGAAAACGTGGCACGTGTGTGCTTACGTGGCGCAGACACGGCACGCTACGCTTTCCTTGTAATGAGACGAGTGTCCAAATTATTTATAGCATGCATGCATTATCTAATGCTGCAGTCTTATAATATTTTTAATATAATAATCTCGTGATTGTAATAGCAACTAATATGATCGATATTCTAGATTAGACTTAGAGCGTGACGAATTTTTAATATGTATGATGCTAATAACTCAATATTTTCATAATCCATAGAAAATAATAACGATTTTTACATTTATATGCATGATGATGTCATAGGTTATAGACAGTACATAGGATTATATGATTTTTTATTCAGTTTGATAATTGAAGATACAATCAATAAAAACAATCTGTGAATAAAAATTTCAAACTAGTAAATTATGTTATTGTTTATATCTTTTTTATTCTTAGCATGAGGTAATATTCTAAAAAACTCGTACGCAGTCGTACGATTATGCGATTTCCGATGTATTTCGAGGACTCCACTTATAGGGATATATGATGATATCATGCACGAGTTTTCAACTTATTTTATATTATTGTTTGGTCATTTGCTAGTCACATAAATTATATAAGTACATATATATATATATATATATATATATATATATATTATTGCACACATATATGTCACCGTAGCCACCACAAATCGCGACGTCTCTCGACCGTTTATTAAAAAAAAACATTATCAAAGTTATAATCTCGAGGTCGGTCGGACATGCTGGCTTTGTGAAAAGCATTTGTCTATAACTTCCATTATTTATATATATATATATTATTTTTATCCGTGATATTTAAAATCGGTGATCATTCTCTATCATTTTTCATGCATGGACCTACGTAGGAAAATATTATAAGACCTGACATTATGTTTCATATATAGATTTCAATGTTTCATACACCTCGAGTAATATCATCCGTAATGGACAAAAACAAAACAAAACAAAATATGAATGATTTTTCATGAAACATGTGAAAAAGGAATGCACCACCAACATTTAAAGTCTATATATCTCTATTGGTTACTCGTATTATTTGACAATGACTATAGATATTTAAGTGATCATTCCGCATGCACCCATTACTATTATGTCTCCCACTGTTCAATCTTGGACCGTCACTCATCAATTCGGTTTCGGTAAAGTCGTGTGTTGCCATTCGCTTCCGTTGTTATTATAATATTTAAAGCGAAACAATATTCATTGCTAATGTAAAATCATATTTTATCTCGTGGTCAAATTCGGATCCATGTCAGCGTTAATCTTTCACATGTGTTTACCGTGATAGGGATAATTAATCGGGTCGAATAAATAAATCTTTATGTATCATATGCAATATAAGCTCATTTGTCATAAGGAGAATATAAAGTCTGTATTTTTTTTTTGCAATATATATGTAAAAATATATTTATTTTTTCTCTCTTCCTTTTTCATTTGTTGTTTTCGATATTTATCGAAGCATTAAAAAAAATTGGCAATTAATTTCGGAATATATTCCTTTTCTCCTCGACGATGACACGAGCCTTCAACAGAAAACGACAAAAACACACTTAAGTATCAGAACAACTGGAAAATCATATTTATTTTAATAAAAAAAATTGCATTAATAACTACGTGAAAGGAACATTATCGGCGAAACAAAGAAGTACGTAAGAGACATAATTTGTAGCAACTTGTCCTTTGTTTTTTTATTTCCATTATAGTCTATCAACAACTTTCATCAACTTGTTCGTACTATATGGGGTTAGGGTTTCTCTCTCTCCAGATTTTGTTTTTTTTAAAAAGTTTTTTTGTAGATATTTGAAGAAATATTATTGAAAATAATTGTTTTTATTTTATTGTGATCAAATGAGTCTAAATATATGTAATATAGTTTCTTTAGTAGAGCTTTTTGATAAAAAAAAGGAAATATAATTTCGGAAGTTATAATTTTTTATGGCAGCTTTGTTTTTTTTTTCCACTAAGAATTCATATGGAAATTGTGTGAATCATTATCAGAAGACTGAATCAAATATTATATAATCAACTATAGTCTTTATTTTGGAAGTATGCATTATATATGTATACATTTGTGTCTGCATCCATACTAGCTTATGATTCATAAGAGTTGCAGTGCGTTGGGCCTACTTAATCTGGCTAGATTATGGGCCTCAATCAGATCAAGCCAAGGCCCACGAACAAAGCCCAGACAATGCACGATTATTTCACTGAAACGTGTTTGTACAAAATTAAGTGAATAAAAAAACATATCATTTAAAAAGTTGTAACGTTATGTAATTTATTAAAAAAAAAAATGAAAGACAAAGAAATAAACATTTTCTCCAAAAAAAAAAAAACTGGCTGTAAATGAATTAACGAATTACAAACGCATACAATTAATGTCTTCATCACACTTTTTGAGTCTTTTTTTTTTCACTTCCTAACTGCATGAAAAAATGAACAAAAAATAAAGAATGAAATAATTTTTTTTTACCTATTTTCAATATTTCTTTTTCTCTAGATCCTAAAAAAAACCATTTTCTTTTTTTTTTTCCCATTATTCTTTTGTTTCTGTAAAATAAAAAAAAGTATTAGCTGTGTCGAGCTAAAGACAAAGAACTCCCTCCGATCTCGGCGGGAGTCCAAGCCGAGACTGTGTAGAGCTCTTGGTCCGACCACCGCAACGTCACTCCGCCGCTGCCGTCCTCATCTCGCCTCTCGACGTTGAAGCCGCCGCCGCCGCCGCCGTACATTCTGAGCAGCATCTTGCTCTGCAGAACCTCCCTCTCCGAGACTCCCAGACTGCGAAACCCTAATTGCTCCAGCAATCTTCTCCATCGCCTGAAACCCGTGTGCCTCTCCTGCCGGTGATTTCCTTCGCAAGCAACGATGTTCCTGATCTCCCTCCCGAACATCTCCTCGATCTTCACTCTGATTAAGCTGTCCGTCGGAAGATTGAAGTGTAATGAATCGAATATCGCGGAGTAGTATCTGAGTGAGTTGCAGATACGTGTTTCCAGATGATCCGTGTTGTGTTCCGCTTCTTGTTCCGCGATAACGAGCGCTATTGGGTTTGTGCTTCGGATTAAACCCATGAAATCCCTAATCGCTGCTCCGGTTGTGTCGTATAGCGTCTTGTGCAACTGGAAAACGCAGTTTACGGCCACGGATTCGCCTTCTTTGACATGAAGCATCCATAGCCTGACGTCTTCGAGCCTGTCAACGACAGAGTGAAACTCGAATGGAAGATTTAGGGCTTCTGCGAATCCATAGAGACGGTCTCCTGTCTCGTTGAGCTCTTGTTTTGATTCCCCGATGCCCGTGATCCGAACGTGTAATGGAGGGTTCGGTCTCGCAGCCAAGCTTTGGAAGAAGCTAGGCCATTGCAGACCTTGCTTGATGTCGAAATCGATGATGTGAACTCTTTCTTTCCCTTGGAAAGCTCTGAGTAGCATCTCATTGGCTGTGAAATGAATGAACTTTGGAATTGGGGTCACTTGGTTCAGGAACCTCAAGCCAGCAGCTCCTGAGTCTTCCTCCTTGTCTGTTCTTTCGAAATCCCGAGGGGGTGTGACATGGAAGATGTGAGGCCACATCCTTGTGATTCTCAGAGCCAAACCTTCAGTGTAATAGGCGGTAACCCGGGTCAGAGGGGTTTTCCCTCTAGGAGAAGCAAGATCGCCCAATCTCACGATGAAATGATTAATGGGGGCAATGTTTTTTTCATCGATTGCTTCTAAGCATCCTTTAAGCAAGCCGACAAGCTCCAAGTCCTTCTGCAACTCGTTTCCATGGTTGTTGTTGTTGTTGTCTTCTTCTTTACTGGTCCCTGCTCTTGCCCCTACCCTTTCGTGTGAGTATGGATTCCTTGAACCATTTGTAGATTCGGGTAAGCTGTAACGCAAGCTGTGGCTCTCCGATGATGCACTTGATCCAGAAGCTTCCTTGACCGTCGTGGTTGGGCGGCTACTCTCCGTGTCCTTGTTGCCTATGCCGGCTAACTCAGTTATCACTGAGTCAACCCAATTTGGATTACTCAGCAATGGCTGAGAAATCACCTCGCTCGGCACGAAACAAACCCTGTCTTCATCACCCGAACACGTCAAAGAAAAAGGCACTTGTGGAGAATTCCGGCCCGCGAACTGCTCAAACCAGAAACTCCCACCTAATCCCAACTGCTGACCCTCCCTTTCGCCTCGTTTCCTCTTCGCTCTGTTCAGACAAGAGTCAGCCTCATCGGCCAACCTCTTCAGATTCTTACCCCCTTGGTCGTTGTTGTCTTTGTCCTTGTTCCAGGAAAACCCTTCTCCGCCTCTTGTTGTCGCCAAAGGTGGAAGCTTTATGTGCTGCTTGAGTGAAGAGGCCTTGGATTTGCTGTCGAGCGAGACGCTTCTGGTGAGCGGTCTGTTGGATTGTGATGAACGGTTCGAAGACGATTCCTTGCGTGAGAAGCTACTGCAAGGTAAGTCCAATCTCTGCGTGTTCATGGGAAGATGACAAGCTTGATGATGGTGATGAAACTGTACTGTTCTCGGTGATTCAGCCCTCAATCTTTGCGTCGGTGACAGCAGTGTAGAGCTCGAGCACCCTGCCAACATGGTCTAACCGCCGAACTCTGTTCTCTATCTTTCAGTTGATTTGATCCACCCACCCTATTTTTGTTTCTTACAGTTTCTGTTTCTATCTCCTATATGCTTTGAGCTCGTGAAGAAGAATGCGAGAGATAGTCTAAGTGAGTGTGTGTGCGTTTTTAACAAAAAAAAAAAAAAAATGGAATCCGATGAGTAAAGAAGCAAAATCAGAGAAAACGTTCAAAAGGGTGTCTTGTGTTTTTGGGTTGTGATGTGAAATCAGGTGATCCTATATGAACAAATGAATTGAATCTTCTCCTCAATATGCAAAGAACATATAATGAATGAAATGTTGAAACGGCCCGTAAACTAATATATCCAGAAAAAAAAAGAATGAAAGAATCAACGATTTCACTAATCTAAAATCAAAACAGCCTACCACAAAACAATCATCGGATTCCTAAACTTTCATGAAAAACTCATTGGAAGATCGAGAGATTCATCACATCATGAACAGGGGAACCTTGCTTGGTTCTGTTGGTGAGAAGACAGGCGAGGAGCTCTGAACCCGGTTTGATATCCCGGTTAACGACCGTGTCCATGGCGGTTCTCGAGCTTCAGATGGCGAAATTACACACACCCAGATGAAGAAAATCCTCTCAAAAGATTCCTGAAATCAGCCTGAAACCCCCCAAAAAAACCCTAATCAAGAAGAACCCGGAATACCTAGATCGAGAATCTCCTCACAGGTGCATGGGACTGCTCAAAACTCAGAAACCCAGAGCAAAGATTCCCACAGAACCCTCAAAGGTTGTTGCTTTTCTTCTCCTTATGTCTCTGTTTCTCTCTCTCTCTCTCTCTCTCTCTCTCCCTTTCTCTCTCTCTCTCCTCTACAAGTAGAATACTACTACTACTGCTACTAATACCATACTCCTACCTCTCTTTACTAGTCTCCGATAATTGAAGTTCCCACCTTTCCTTTTTACAGCAAGTTATTTTCCTCTCTTTTTTTTGTCGGGAAGTGTGATGGTAGGCGAGTGGAATCTGGAGTGTTCTTGACCGTAGGATCTTCGGATCCAACGGTGGAGAATGTTGGGGTAAGTGACCGTTGGTGATTTGTCGGGGAAATATGACCGTTGAGGGGAAGGTTGAGGTCGGTGTACGGACAATTCAAGAAGGTTTTAGAAATATATACACGCACACTCTTTTTTTTTTGCTTGTATTTTGTATTTTATCCAACGAGAAAAAAAAAATTAAGCAACTTGCGTAATATTATGGTTTTCTTATTTATTTATCTTGTGGTGTCACGTGATTTTCACTTGACCGTTAGTGATTACATAATTTCACGATGTAAATTTCACATTAATTTCTTTTCTTTAACTATGGTAATTCCCCAACGTCTTTCCCATCAATGTACATGGAAGACACGTGGCGTCACCACAGTCCATATATATGTATATATACACGTAATGTAGTGTACATTTTTTTCTTCTTCGCGCATTCATGAATTTAATCTCTTATATCTTAAACCTAATGAGCAACACTTTTGTCGTTTGACATAAATATAAATAAACAAAGCGATAAAAAGATTATTAATCAAGATTTAATTATTTTATATTAACTTCTTTTTTTGTCTTGGAATCTGAATCATTTAGTCTTGGAGTAAAGTACATATGCCCAATGAGTAAATTTACCTTGAAGGGGACAAAGGACAAAACAAGCATGGAGACTCGAGTAACAGGAAAAGCCCCAATATCTTTGATTTATTTAATGCAAAGTAATTTAGTTATATACATATCCTAGAAATTTCTTGTTATAATACTTGAGCATCATTAAAATTAATCTTAGTTATTTAAATTAATTCATATGAAATTAACATAATTAATTGAATAGAGTTGTGCTTTTGTCGGGATTTGATGCTGATTTTGACCAAATAATAAATTTTTATCCAAGTAATAAATAAGCGATAAAATTTCGTAAAGATCGATTATATTGAGAAAATAGTGAAAAAATATTTTCGTCCTATAAATATCATTGATATCAGAATAGAGAAAATGTTTCCGAAAGAAAACTCAAGATTTTTACGTCCTTTAGGTGTAATTCTACACAAAACTAAATAAGGGGTAACTAACGAAAATAATGACAAGTTAAGGGTTAAGTTCGAATAAAAAAGGAAGCATCTATGTACATGGCATATGGGCTTGAACCTATAAAAAACTAATGGGCTTTTACAAAAATTTGAAAGACCAATTATGACAGAAATCTTGACGGCGTCGTTTTAAACGTCGTGGCTTCTCCTATTTGGCTCACCGGAGACCAGAGGAAAGAAGAAGAAGACGAGCGACGGCGAAAATGGCGGAGGAGCAGAAGAAGCCATCCAGGTTCTGGATTTGGGCTATGGCTTCCGTGATTTTCCGGTTGATTTTGATCCTTTTCCAAGAAAATCTCAACTTGTCTTCCCGTCCGGAGGTCTCCACCCCTCTCACTAGCCTCCGCCGCCGTATCGTCTCTCTCTCTCTCTCCTCTCTCTCTATGACTCTCTCTGCACGATCACCCTTCCAGCTTACATTTTGAACATTGTCGTGGATGTTGCAGTAGCTGAAGGGTACTGGTTGAAGCAGTCATCGATGTCTCCATATGCAGGTTCTTCATCTACATCTGTAGTTTCTCCTCTCAGATTTGATTCAATGTAGATTCGAATTCTGAGATGGGTGATGTGGAACTTGGGTTTGTTTCTTTGGACAGGATCTATGTATCATGGTTCGCCTTTGCTGCTTTCGGTTCTCGGACCACTCACTGTCAAGAGGTTGTGGTTTCATTTCCTTTCTTGGGCAGAATTTTCTGATAAAGTTTCTATTTTTCATCATTGAATTTTGGCTTGTTCGAATTGTTGCGATTTCTGATTCTTTACCTTTGTATTCTCATGGCTTACATTGCAAAAATTCTGGTTTATGTACAGGATTGAAGGGCTTCCAAATCATGTTTTGTGCAGGTACTTGTGTTCAGTTTCTACTGATTGTCTGTAGTGGGTGATTGTCTGAAAACGCCATTTCCATTTCATTAATATCTTGTTTTGGGAAATCTTATGTTTTCTCTTGGGGAGTTGAATGCTACTCAATATGTTCAAACATGTGCTTATTCACCAACTAGCTGAAATTATAGGTCGGGTTATAAGTAGAGTGGCAGTCCTTTTATGAAATAGTATGATGTTCATGGAATTAGAGAATTATATATTTGATGGTAAATATGCATCTTACGGTTTAGCCTCGGAGTAAAATCTTATTTATTGCTATGCCATTCTGTAGTCATGTGGATGATACCAACATTCTCTTTGGATACAGCCTGGTTTTTGTTATTGCAGATATATTTAGCGCTCTGCTACTTCGGGCTACTGGTCAGAAACTCCAGATGGCTTATGGAATGAATTCGAGGTTACTTGGCCTTCTCAAGTCATCAAGGGATAGAGGTAATTTAAATTTTGTTATCATAGTCATTGTAATTGCTCCATTTAGTAAGGCCGTCTTCCCGTTGTTGGACTTAGAAAGCCTGCCTTTCTTTTGCTAGACTCTCGATGAAAAGATAGATTGCTTAAGACCAGAAGGGAGAGAAATACTAGAAACAGAGGGGCAGAGAAGACATGGATCATAGTGTAATGATTGTGGGATTAATTTATTGAATAGATGTCATTTGATAAATGTCTTAGTCCCTTAATATATTTTCCTGCACAAATTGTTTTCTGCCTATTAAAATTGTTTATAACCCAAAGAAAAGTGATGACCTCTTCTTTCCCTTTCCTTTCAGGGATCCTCCCTTGTGGAGATATTGCTGCGTTCATGTACTTGTGGAATCCTTTTACCATATTTTCTTGTGTGGGCTTATCAACTTCTCCGATCGAAAATTTGGCTGTCATATTATCACTTTATGGAGCAGTTACTAGTAAGCATATGATAACCTTTTCCTGCTGATGTTTTCAAAATTTTCCTGTTATGCCGTATATTTCTGTTTACTCTTCATATACGATGAAAAGATCTGTTTTCTTTTCTTCCTGTTCTTCTTATTTGTCTGTAGTTTGGGAATTGGATTGTGATTCCCCTATCTTTGTGTGAACAAATGTGCATTTATCCTTTGCAGGACGAGTTCCTCTAGCTGCATTTGGGTTAGTCATGGCCACACATTTATCCCTTTACCCAGCAACTCTGGCAATCCCGGTATAAACCTTCTTGTTTCCATCGTTGTTCTATCGCTGTATTTTCTGTAGTTCAAATTTCATTCAAGCAAGCAACAGATACTAATTTGTTGTTATGTTTTCCTCAGATAACCATTTTATTGGGATATGGTTTAGATGCACCTCCTCTAAAATTGTTCCTTCATACACAACCCATGAAAGATGAGGACAGTTCAACTTCTGCCACTTCTACACAAAGCAAACCGAAACGAAATACACGAATTCCCTTCTTATGGAGAACTGTCATGCATTTCGTGTTTTGGGTAATGGTGTGGTCTCTCTATGTGTTAGTTTTATGCGGCTTATCATTAAAGCAGCATGGTGGGCTTGATGAGATGTTCAAGAGGTAAACCTCATTTACTACACCGTAGGCAAAGTTTCATAATTCAGTTAGAATGTTCATGTGTTAGGTTCCAACTCTGACGATTATTACTATGTCAATATTTGTTACATCCAACACAGTTTTTTCAATAAAGTGGTGATGACTGTGTATTTTATGCCATCGGTTGTAGGACATATGGTTTCATTCTCAGTATTGAAGATCTATCACCAAACATTGGAGTCTTTTGGTAAGTCTAAGGTCATCATGGATTTCTTTGCCATGGACCGGATAAAGAAAATCTCTTTATTACGGCACATTTCTTATTCTGTTCATCTCTGTATATTCATCTGCCTTTTATTTCATTTCAGGTACTTCTTTGCAGAAGTATTTGACTTCTTCAGAAACTTTTTTCTGGTAGTTTTCCACGTAAATATTTTGTTTATGTTACTGCCTCTGGCCATTCGGTTGAAACATCGGCCCTGCTTCCTGGCTTTTGTGTATGTAGCGATCTCCTCAATTCTTAAATCTTATCCTTCGGTAAGTATTTAACTTCATTATGGAATGAAGTATAAAGGGTTTTGTTCTTGAAGCATAAAACTTGTTTCTAACAAAGAAAATGTCACACATAGACGTCGAAATGGCAAGGCAATATGATAATAATCTATCTGAAATTATATCCTCTCTTTTGGACTAGGTTGGGGATTCAGCTTTGTACTTGAGTTTGTGGGCATTGTTTGTCAATGAATTAGCAGGTAAAGCAAGCAAATGCGTTGTACATCTCTTCCGTTATGTCTTATGAAATCTCGCAGGAGAACTTTCTTTTTAATTTTTCTTTTGTGTGTGCGCGCAGACATGAAGTTCTCGTTCTTCCTCTTCTGCGGGTATCTCGGGATATCACTCCTAAGCCCGGTGATGCATAACCTTTGGATATGGAGGGTAAATTCCTCAACTCATCACTACTCTGTTCATATCCTTCAGCAAAGAAATCTGATTGGTAATGTGTTAAAACAGGGCACAGGGAATGCAAATTTCTACTTTGGGAATGCCATCGGATACGCTTTCTTTCAGGTAAATATTTACCTCTCTGAATCCAAATCTTTTTTCTTCCCTTAAGTTGGCATTTGGAATAGCCTGACGCCATTTTTCACTGACTTGTTCTTGTAAATTGTACGTTGTGTGTATGAAGATTGTGTTCGTGGTGGAAAGCGTAAGCGCGATGCTTAACCACGACCGGAAGTTGAAGAGATTTACTTCAAATGCAAGTGTTCAAGAGGTCAAGAACTGAAGAAGCAGCTGCTTCCAGTTTCTGTCTTGTTTCATAAGTGTGATTTCCCAAACGCCAAACGCCAAAACATGGATTTCATATTTGTTTGTTGTCATCAACGATGTTTACACAATTTCTACTTTTTTTTTTTTATATACTTTGGTTATAGAAAATCCTTTTAAATCTACTCCCAAAAAGACAATATTTCAAGTTAATATCGAAGTCCACATCAAATGAAAGCAGTGGGCCTGGCCCAACTATAGAGACTTGATAGCTTATAAAATAATGGGCCAGGCCCAAATATGGTCAATGATCTAAAATAGCTTGATTGCCCTTGTGATAGGTTTTATCAATAAGATTTTCCAAGATTATATTAACTTATTATATATATATAATAATATATATGTTGTATATTCCTTTTTATATGTTCTAGAATGAAGATAAGTGACTATTCACGTGGTATTGAAGTCCGAACAAAAACAAATCAACATTTTTTGGACTGCCCCGATCAAATTTTTATTTATTTTAATTTAATTACTTTGATTCAAAACAATTGACATACCGTATATGATATGATATGTAATGCATATACATGAACATGTACATAGAAAGCTTTAATAAATCAAGTTCGTGTTTCCCTAGGTCCATCATTTATGACGAGGTCTTTTTGGTCATTTGCTGACCACTTCCCTATTCCTTCTCCCTAAAAAAATATTATCTTTCTTTAATAAATTATTTTATTCGATCTCAGTTTGCAATTTGCATGCATATTTAGACGAAAATCTCCGTTGAAACTGTCTTTTTCAGAAAATATGTAAAGAAAGCCTTAATTATATGTACATATATATATACATGTATGAATATACCTATTCATATATTATCATATTGATATATATATATATCATATATATGGCGAATCCAATATGCATATCACCCAACAGCTTGTGGGCGAGTGATCAGCAGTTAGATGCAAAGTACTAAGTGTGACACCCGAAACCCGTGTACAGTATACGGGTTGTGCCACATGGACGATATACAATAAAATAATAATTGCGGAAGCGAAAATACAAAATCCAAAAGATCAGTATCGTAAAATGACACATGTCTGAATAGCCATAGTTTAACCGTACAAAATGCGGGAATACAAATCCCGAGGTTCTGAATACAAATCCCGTACATGATGCTGCCTCTCTCGGATCGTCGTCGTCTGGTACGCTACGCGTAATCCTCATGATCTGTAAAAACATATAACCGCGAGGGCTAAACACAACTGCTTAGTGAGTAGCCCGGGTTGATCCCGGTCATCCCGTTCCCAGCGAGAACGGTGATAAAACAATGGCATACAAGAAACACACAAGTAATAACAACACGTAATTATATCACATCATTCATAATCACACCCGTATGGAGTCCACCATATGGTTTAGCAATATACCCTAGTCAAGTCCATGACTAGGAGCGCATCCACGCCCGTCAAGTCCATGACGTTGGCCGTCGTGTCGCACACGACTAAAACGCGTCTCAAACGCCCGTCACGTCCATGACGTTGATGGTTGAGTCCACAACCATCCACAAACACAATCACGCTTAACTCGTACGCACGAGCAAGCTACACACATGGCACACAACGTGCAATATTCCCATAGTACAATCATACGTATCACGGTATCCGGTCCCTACCGGGTTATCGTTCCACGCCATGCAATTCTACCCACAAATAGTCACGCAATGATCACTCATATTTTGATGTCGCACATCTCACTACGCCACGCAACGTCCTAGCAAAAACTCGGTTCGATTGATCCCAATCGCAACGCTTTGTCCTTTGGTGAGGGTTAGGCCCATCTGTGGTCAAGTCTAGTTAGGCCCGGGCCAACCCCGTTGGTCGTTTCCTTTTTCCCGGTCGAAATGGAAATTTTCCTCTTTTCTCCGAGCCTGGTCCGACAGACCAAAGCCTGGTCTGATCCGGACCACAGTCCCTTCTCTTCTGGTCCGTTCAGCTTCCTTGGTCCGTTGGTTTGTTATGAGATAGGTCTGGTCCGCCCCTGATCACTACTGATCAGGTACCGACCAAGACGTGTCATTCGTTCTCGGCCCGTTTCCTCGGTTCAACGTGAAATTTTTCTTTTTCCAGGTCTGGTCCGGCGGACTTACATTTGGTCAGCCCCGGACCAGTTCTCGTTTTTGGTTCGCCCCATTTCTCCTTGGTCCGTCGATGATTTTGGCTTCTGGGCACATCTGGTCCGGCGGACTGACTTTTGGTCAGCCCCAGACCATGACTTTTTCTCACTTGGTCCGTTTCCTGTTTCGTTGGTCATCCGGACCATTTTTGGTCAAAAACAGGCTTGGTCCGCCGGACCAGGTTCTGGTCCGGGTCGGACCAAGCTTCCTCCGCTTCTTCCCCTCCGC